TCGACAGATGCCGGGATCTGTTCCTGTCTCTCCCGTCTCTGTCCCTGTGGGTAGAGCTCTCTTGTCCTCTGTATGGCAGAGTTGAAGATGGCAGATTTGTCTATTTGCTGGCTGGCTTGCTTGTGACAAGGTTTCAAGTAGCCCAAGCTGGCCTCCAACTCCATCCTCCTGCCTCACGCTGTAGAATGCTGGGACAAGCCAGGGAGGGCTGATTAGCTGCCCAGCACAGGGGTGCTTGTCCCCAAACCCGATGACCTGAGCTCGGTCCCCAGATCCCATTTAGAGGAAGGAGAACCACCTCATACAAGCTGCCTTACATCTTCTACACAAGCACTACGCGGCGCGAGCACACACAATGCTAAATAAACAATAAACAAATATGGGGGGTGCGTTTTGATTCAAGTCCAGATAGACATGGCAGTTCACACCTGCATTCTCAATAGGACATGGAGGCAAGGCAGGAGGCATACTGCCAGATTGAGTCCAGCTGAGGCGTGATGTAATGAGACCCCGTCTCAGGGGGAAACAAACAAACAAAACCAAATACAGTGGTGCACGCTGGGAATCAAGCATTTGAGAGGCAGAAGCAGGTGGCTTACTGAAAACCCGAGGTTAGCCTGGGCTGTAACTAGAGTTCCTTGGAGTTCCAGGCCACCCAAGGCTACTGATTAAGACTGTCTATAGCCGGGTGGTGGTGGCACATCCCTTTAATCTCAGCACTCAGGAGGCAGAGCCAGGTGGATCTCTGTGAGTTCGAGGCCAGCCTGGTCTACAGAGCGAGATCCAGGACAGCCACCAAAACTACACAGAGAAACCCTGTCTCAACAAACAAACAAAAAAGAAAAGAAAGAAAAAGAAAAAAGACCCTGTCTAAAAAATAACACCACCTTCCCGCCCCCCAAAAAATAAATTTTAAAAGTTTGATGCATAACTGGGAAGTTCAAAGACAGACCTATCTTCAGTCATAGTTAGATCCAGGAGCTGAAATCCGCTTCCGTCAATGAGACAATGCCACTGATTGGGGGTGGGGTGGGGTGAGGGGGGTTCAAATGCTGTGGTTGGCCAGTGGTAGGTGGCTGCTCCTTCCTCTGCTGGGCAGGTAAGTTACTTGGAACAGGAAGCCTTTGGCCTTGTGCCCAGCAGGCTATGGCTCTTGAGTCAAATGCTACCTCTGGGACTCCTTGACCCTGGAAGCTGACTTCACAGGCATGAGACCCACCCAGTCCCTTTGTCAACAAACCAAGCCGATCTTAAGCAAGTCCTAAGCATGCCTCCTGGGCATGTAATCTGGGAGCTCCACACTGCAGCCTGCTCTCCTCTGGCTTCCTTCCTGAGCCGGCCCTACCCACAGAAACCAGCCAGGAGAAAGCCAAGCGCAACTTGGTGGCCGTCCAGGAGAGCAGGTGCAAAGGGGAAAAAAGACGTCCGACACACGGACTCTCTGACTCATGGAGAAAGAGGGCAGGAGGCGGGATCTTGCAAAGTCAACAATACAGCTGAGGCTAACACTCTAGACCTCCTCCATCTTCAGCTTCCAAAAGTCAGAGGTGGTCGGCAAGGTGAAAGCTTCGCCATGCCCATCTTAGTTTGTCCTCTGCCCTCCAAGCATGCCCTCCCTCCCCACCATGAGGAGAAGAGAAGGTGAGGGGGTGTGAAGGTCATGACCCAGGACCTGTTACATGGCTCAGCAAGTAAAAATACTTGCTACCAAGCCTGATGACCCGAGTTCAATCCCCGGAGAGCCACAAAACTGAAGGAGAGAACTGACTCCGGTGACTTGACCACATGCTGGGGCACATAAAGCTCTCCCAAACACAAATAATTTTAAAGTATAAACACGCACACACACACACACACACACACACACACACACACACACACACGAACAAATGCCGCTGATGGCCAAGTGGTTAAGAGCATTTGTCGTTCTTTCTTGTGGAGGACTGGGGATTACGTCCCAGCACCCACACTGAAGTTTACAACTATCCATAACTCCAGTTCCAGGGGATCTGATGCTCTTCTGGCTTCCACAGGCACCGGGAACACATGTGGCGCACACACATACATGTAAGGAAAACACTCCTGTACATGAGATTAAATAAATCTCAAAAACAGAAGAAAATCACCAAGGCTCTGTGCATGTTGACCATACTTTTTTTTTAAATAATTTTTTTTTTGTTTGTTTTTTTTTGTTTTTCGAGACAGGGTTTCTCTGTGTAGCTTTGCGCCTTTTCCTGGAACTCACTTGGTAGTCCAGGCTGGCCTCGAACTCACAGAGATCCGCCTGGCTCTGCCTCCCGAGTGCTGGGATTAAAGGCGTACGCCACCACCGCCCGGCTTAAATAATTTTTTTTTACATTTATTTATTTATTACACATACAGTGTTCTGTCTACATTCCAGAAGAGGGCACTAGATCTCATTATAGATGGTTGGGAGCCACCATGTGGTTGCTGGGAATTGAACTCAGGACCTCTGGAAGAACAGCCAATGTTCTTAACCTCTGAGCCACCTCTCCAGCCCATGTTGACCATACTTTTAATCCCAGCACTCAGAGGCAGAGGCAGGTGTATCTCTGTGAGTTCAAGGCCAGTCTGGTCTATGTAGGGAGTTTCAGGCCATCCAGGGCTGCATAGTGTGAGTCTGTCACGGGAAAAAAGAAGTCATCAATATCTAGACTACAATTATTCTGTGCCTACTATTCACACAGCTGGCCTCATGCCACACTTGTTCCAAGCCAGACATGGTATCTGGAGGCCATGTTGAATCTTTACTAAAAACACAAACAGTGCAGATTCACACTTGATCCTGCTACTTCCTGGCTGGTTGTTTGGAAAGGTCCTATGTCTCAGTTTACCTTTCACCCATGGAGATCATTACAATAGTATCCCCTTATTGGGATTCTTTTTTTTTGTAGGGAGGCAGTGGTTTGAGTCAGGGTTTCTTTGTGTAGCCCTGGCTGTCTTGGAACTAGCTCTGTAGCCCAGGCTGGCCTCAAGTTCACAAAGATCTGCCTGCCTCTGCCTCCCAAGTGCTGGGATTAAAGATGTGCGCCACCACCGCCCAGCCCCTTACTGGGATTGCTTCTTTTTGAGACAGAGTCTCTCTGTGTAGCCCTGGCTGATCAGAACTGGCTCTGTAGACCAGGCTAGCCTGGGACTCACAAAGATCCTCCGCCTCTGCCTCCTGAGTGCTGGGACTAAAGGTGTGCAGCACCATGCCTGACCTCTTCCTGCAAGTCTCGTGAGCAATGAACAAAGACAAAGGAATTCTGAATAATGTCCCTTCTGGACCTGTGTTTTGTGTAACTCTGACTTTGGGACCAAGTCATTTTTCCCCTTCCCATGACTCGGTTTCCCCACCTCCCCCAAGTTTTGATTGGTGGCGTTATTTGCAGCAGGCCTAGTTGAGTGCCTGGTAGACAGTGGAAGTTAACAGCCTTTGTTAATAGTATTGTTGAAGGGATATGGTGACAGCCGGGACTGGAGAGTGCCAGCCAGCCAGCTCACGGCTCAGTCCCGAACACTCCACTAGTCAGCAGTGGCAGCCTACACCTGTGACCCCAGCCTTGACATCCTCAGCGGCACGGCTAGCTGGGAGCCAGCCAGGACTGCACGGGACTTGGTCTCATAGAAACAAAACAATGGCCTGGCAGGTAAAGGCATTTGCCACCGAACCTGACCATCAGAGTTGGGGCTCTGGCACCCACCTGATGGAAGGATCAACTCAAAACAAGCTGTCCTCTGACCTTCAGAAGCAGGCATGCCTTACTAGCACACAAAATAATAAGCAAACAAACAAACAGAATCCTTAACAAGTAGGTCAGACCCGGCCTCCACTCCTTGGGCCGTGCCTTTCGGGAGAGGGAACCCAGTTATGTGGCAGGCTGGAGAAGGGACCCTATCCCAGCCCGCCCCCTCCCCACGGCCTCCGGTTCTCCTCCCTCCCTCCCTCCTCCAAATGGACTTTCTCGTCAGCTCCCCTCAGCGGCCCTGGGAATGTGAAGAGGCAGGTGGGGGTAGGGAGGAGCGGAGCGTCTAGGAAGAGACAAAGGAGACAAGTCAAAGCCAGCCACTAAGACCAGAGGAAGCTGGGGAGATAGGGAAAGTGGGACAAGGACACCGGCAGGGACTGGTGGGGCCAGGGGCCGGACTGACTGGTCCAGCCCCACCCAGCGGGGCTCGGCCCGCCGGGTTGGTCTGTGCTGCCCCCTAGCGGGAGACCGTGGGATGAAAAAAGATACTGGGTGGGAGGGACGCAGAGGCCAGAAGTAAGGACAGAAGAAACGTCAAGAGTGACACAGAAATCTATGAGACAGAACCCAGAACATGACAGGGACTCAAAGAGAGATGTAGACAGACAGACACACACACAGCCAAAGGAATGCAACGAGACATGGGGACCAAGTGACACAGGCACACGGATAGACAAAGAAATCCCAGAAGCTGAACGACAGAGAAACACGGGGACGCGGAGGGAGACTCCGAGATGGTGAGGGAGCCAGAGAAGAGAAATCTGGAAAGAAATGAGGCGGCGACACAAGAACCCCGGGCAGAGATCAGAAGGGGACCAAGTCCACTAAGAAGTGACCTCGACCCACGACAGCAGCCGGACTAGGGGAAGGGCTGGGGGAAGGGGGTGTGGCCTCGTCGAGGGGCGGAGCCTCGGGCAGGGAGGCCTATGAGAGGCCACAGACTCAGGCTAACCAGAGGGCAGTGGGGCGTGGTCCGCGCCAGGAGGCAAGGCTTCTGCTGGTGGCAGCCGACCGGAAGTCCAGAAGGGGGGTGTGACCGCATCGCCACAGTAGAGTGATCAGAAGGGGGCGCAGTGGGTCTTCCCGCGGTGTGTGGGGGCGTGGCTCGCTGACAGTGGGCGTGGCCGCATTGCAAAAAGGGGCGGTGCTAAATCCCAGGAGAGGGCGGAGATAGAATCGTGGGGGCCGGACAGGTGTGGGACTTGGGAGGGGCGGGGTCATAGCTCCGGGAGGGGGCGGGGCCTGAATCCCAGGGTCGGCTTGGCGAGGAGGGGCGGGGCCTGTGACGTCACGAGCCCGGCCCGCTGGAGCTAAGCGAGGGGCCGGGGGGCGCGGATCCTGAGAGCCAGGCGAGGGAAGCTGGGCCAAAAGAACTGATCCGGGGAGCCGCGAGCGGCGGGAGCCGGCCCGGAGCCGGACACTTCAGGCCCCTGACCGCCCTCACAGCCGATCGGTGAACGCGGAGTGGTCCCTAGGCACCCCCTGCCCGGGCCCAGTCCCTCCCCGGGCCCCCCATGGCCCGGGCCGCAGTCCTCCCGCCGTCCAGATTGCCACCGACGCTGCCGTTGTTGCCGCTGCTTCTGCTCCTGCTCCAGGAAACAGGTGAAAACGCGCGGATGCCTTCCTCGGTCCTCGGAGTGGAGGGAGCCCGGGCTTCGTCCCCCACCTCACTCCCAGCTCCCCGAGGGCCCTTCCCTCGTGCTCCCTTCCAGGCTGGCCTTACTGATCCGGAGATTCCCTCAACACACCCTACTCCGTCTCCGAGTCTTCTAACCTCCCTCTCAGCTCCCCCTCTTAATCACAAGTGCCCATTCTGACCCGGGTTTATCCGTCCCCCTCCACCTCCCTCAGGGTGGAAGGGGTTAAATCCTCCCCATCCTGCGCCGATCACTTATCCGGAATCTGGATTTCCGTCTCTGCTCCCCCCCTCAGGAATGTGAAGAATGTTCCCCCCCACTCACACTAGCTGGAGGGTCGTGATGGTGAGGAGGGGCGACACCCGCCCCCCCCTTTTTCTTTTCCTTCTGGCTAGGTTGGGTGTCTGAGGCCCGGGGAGAATTGGGCGCGAGGGGACCCACGGTCGAGGCTCCCTAGACCAAGGGTGGGGAGCTCGGGTCTTTGGGGGGCCCCGGCAAGCCAATGATGAGAGTTGGGGGCACTCTGGGGAGGAAGGATGTGAGTCCTGAGTGCAAGCCTCAGGCCTCAGGGAGTTGACGGGCACTGGCCACCCGTTTCTGGAAAAATTAAAGATAGCTGAGATTCTGCCTCCAGAATCTCAGAAGACTGTCCTAACCGGGGTCTAGGTAGAACCGGGGGGAAAGGGGGCGCAAACTTGTGGGTCTTTGGTTTAACTGTGGGCAAAGAACACTGTTCGTTGGGGGTCCAGGGACAATTGGGGGCCAGAGGCACTACCTTGGCCGCTTCGGATTTAACTGTAGCTAATGGAATTTAATGAGCAGGGGACTCTGACCTTTGGCTCCCAAATATAACCAAAGGCTGAAAGGCTCTGCCTCGAACTGGGGACTCCGCCGCCTGTGTCCCAGGTGGAGTCGGAGGCCGGGAGCGAGGTCTGGAGTTCTCCTCCCCTTCCCCCTTTCCCTGTGAGCGCCGGTGGCAAAGACGTCCCTGGGGAAGTTTTCCGGTATCGCTTTCACCTAGTTTGGGAGGGGCGGGGCGGGGCTGGAGCGCGCGGAGTCCCTACTCCCGGTTTCGGGACCTTATCTTTCCTCGGGTCACGCCTTTGTCCTCGCTGCACTTAGAGAGGTAGATGGGAGGAGTCTCCTCCCAGGCACTCGCCCCTTCCCACCCCCCCACTCCAGGAGGGGCGAGGCCCCGGGAGGAGCCTGGGGGTGGGGTGGGGGAACAGGTGTGCTGACCTCGCCCCGCCCCTAGCAGGTGACCCGGTTGTTTCTTCCTAACTGCAGAACTCTGGGATTGGGGGTGCGGGGGTGGCGGAGAGTTTCTGGAGGGTTTCCTCAGAAAGGGGGGATCCGAGGGATCTTGGGGAGAATGCCTATCACTCCTTTTCCTTTCTGATACCTCCTTCGAGGTGAGGTCATCGGCCCTGACCTCCAAGCTCCCTGCCTCTGTCAGCGACAGATGGGATCAGAACTTGCCACTCTGGGTGAATTCTCAAAGCCCACCGTACCCTCCAAGCCAAGCGTTGATTTGCCTGTGAGCTCACAGAAGGTTCCACAGAACCCCAAAGCAAACCTTGTTCCTCTTCCCAGCCTGCACAGGAGGAAACAGAAAAGGCACGCGCTCGTTTCCAGGGTCCACTCTGTCCCTCAAGGGCCTTTGGAAGCCAGCAGTCCGGTGGCCTGGCTGGGCCGGTTTCCCAAAGTGCTTCCTAGACCTGAGGTGCCTTCCCTGCTGGACCTCTGGGGGGATTCCCAGCTGCTGGGCATACCTCTGCTCCTGCCTCCACTTCCTCATTCCCTCTCTCCCTCTCATTTTCCTTCTCCCCCCCCTTCCGTTCACTCCTGTTCTTTTCATTTCCCCCTTTTCCCTTCTCTCCTCTCTGTTCTGTTTCTTCTTTGCCTCCACCTCTATCCCCCGGTCCCAGCGCCTCAGCCTGCCCCTCCCTCCCGGCCTCCTCGGGGAATGGGGCTCCCACCACCTGGACCTCCGGCCTGAGCCTGCTCCTCCCCACCTCTCTGTGCTCATCCGCGTCTGCCAGGCAGCCCCACGCAGGCAGCCATGGGGGAGGGGAGGAGAGGGGACTGCAGGCCGGGCTGTCTCTTCTCGTTAGGGAAGGAGGACTGAGCAGGAGAGAAATGGGGGGACAGGGACAGGAGCCAAGAGAGGGAGGGAACGAGGGAGTCAGACCTCGGGATGGAGTCATGCACAAAGAATGAAGGAAGATGTGCAAGGGAGAGGGCAGGGCGGGCCAGGGGTGTAGGCAGGGACCCCGGAGGGTAGAGAGGTTTGTTGTCAGGAGAGAAAGACCAAAAGACCCCCCAGCCCAGGGGCTGTGGAGATCCTGTGACCCAGAGAGGTCAGAGCACAGGCCGGTCTCAAGGCCAGGCAGTGTGGAGGGGCCACAGGGAGTTACAGACACGGAGCGACAGGGCGTCTTGCACAGGGCCTGCTCCCCTGCCCCCGCCTGGGATGCCGTTACATTTTTAATGTCCCAGCGATGCTGAGACACAGAGCAGGAGGGGGAGGAGGGGAGGGACCCAGAGAGATGGCCCAGGCAGTGAGAAAGTGTGTCAGGAGATGTGGAGAGGTGTGGGTGCTGGACACACAAGGACACGGAGCTCCCAGGGTCACAGAAACAGAAACCCTAAGGCAGGAGTGGTGACCATACACCTGTAACTCCAGCACTCGAAGAAGGCTGAGGCAGGAGGATTGCAGGCTGAGCTACATCAAAAGACCCTGTCGCTAAAAAAAAAAACAAACAAAAAAACCAGAGTGGCAGAAGCAGGCCTGTAATCTAAGTGCCAGCTTGGGGGAGGCTGAGGCAGCAGAATCTTGAGCCCCAGGGCCAGCCTTGGCTATGGAGCTGAGAAGGAAAAGAAGAGGAGAGAGATGGACTGGGCTGTGGCTCAGTTGGTAGTGCTCACTTAGCATGCATGGAGCCCTGGGTTCCATCCTCTGCACCCCCTAAAGCAGGCATGGAGCCCTGGGTTCCATCCTCTGCACCCCCTAAAGCAGGCATGGTAGCTGTGACCCGAACATGAGTTCAAGATGACATGACTACGCAGTGAGATTGAGGCCAGCCACCGTCACTTGAGACCTTCTCCCAGAACACGAGAGGGGTACCAACAAGCTGGGGACGCGATCCAGGCTGCAGAGTGCTTGCCAGCATGCCTGAAAACGGGGGTTCGATCCCCAGCACCGAATGATCGATCACCAGTGGTAGTGAGCACCTATAATCCCAAAATGGAAAGTAGAGACCAGAACATCAGAAGTTTAAGGTCATCTTTGGCTACATAGTTAAATTCAGTCCAGCCTACAAGAGACCCTGTGTCAAAAAGGGAAAAAAAATTGTTATTTTGTGTATGTTGGAGTGGCTCGGGCCTTTAATCCCAGCACTCAGGAGGCAGAGGCAGGCAGATCTCTGTGCGCTCTGAATTCAAAGGCAGCCTGGTCTAATTAAGAGAATTCCAGGGCATCCAGGCCTACATATTAAGACCCTCCCCCATCTCTGTCTGGATGGATGGATGGATGGATGGATGAATGGATGGATGGATGGTCTCTCTCTCTCTATTATTAATATTTAGATAAATAGGCAAGAGTCTGGTACTTTGGGGAATGAGAAGCCAAGGGACAGGGGCAGAAGGAACAGATCGGAGAAGTGGGACCCGTACACAGGCAGAGGCCATAGTCTCCTGGGACTGGGATGCACACTGAGGTGTCCACTCTCTTGGCAGGATATGAGAGTGGTCCGTCCCAGGACCCAGCCAGGAAGAGCCTTGGAGAACTTCCCCCTGATGAGTCTGTATTTCCACAGGGGACGTCCTCTGGGAGCTGAGCCCCTGTAGCAAAGGAAGGCTGTGTATGCAAGGGGCCAGGGGGGCCTGTGTAACCCCCGAGTGTTAAAACGGAGGCCCACATAGAGATCAAGACAGCCCAGGCCGTGTATCCTGGCCCAAGTGGTTACATTCTCACCCCCCAGACAGGCTCCGGATGTCCGCCGTGGGGGTGGGAACCATGATTAATGTAATTAATTAATTAACCAGGTGGCTGAGGCAGCAGCTGATGCCAGTGCTCCAAGCACCCTGGCCTTGAAGGGTTTACTCCAGGCCCGCCCCACCCTGCCGGGTTGGGAGTAGGACACTCCAGGTTTTATAGGTGTGCAGGGGCCCGAGGAGACTTGAGGAGCCAGCCAGGCAGGACATTAAGAAGCCTGGGGTCCAGACTCAAGCTCTCTTCCCCAAGACCCGAGGCTCCATATCCTCCAACCTTCCTCCTTCCGACCTGAAGTGTAGGATCCAGCCAGCCCTCCCCCCCGCAGACTCAGGCCTCCCGACCAGTCCTCTTCCCTCGGGCTTCGAGACCCCAGCTCCAGCCCTCCCCTGTGTTATTGCCCAGCACAGGCTTTCCCTCTGGCCTGCAGGAAGCCTGCTCTTCCAGTCCTTAGGGAGAGGAAGTGTGTTTGAGGACCCAGCTGACACTCGGTCGGTCGGTGGCCAGAAAGCAGAGAGAAGCAAGTGTTCCCACGGGCCATTTTCAGGCCACTATCTCTGAGGCGTGGTTTTGGCGGTGTCCCTACAAGGTCACACCACAGCCACCTGCCATGCAGCCTCCAAGGGGTGTTTCTCTCTCTTTTTTTCTTTTTTGGTTTTTCAAAACAGAGTTTCTCTGTGTAGCCCTGCCTGTCCTGGAACTCACTCTGTAGCCCAGGCTGGCCTCAACTGAGAAATCCACCTGCCTCTACCTCCCAAGTGCTGGGATTAAAGGCGTGCCCCGCCACCTCCCAGCCAGGAGATGTGTTTTTAGCTCCAGATGACCCATCTTCCAGATTTCATGACTTCATCTCCCCTGGCTCCCCACCCGATACACAGAATCCCTGAATCCCCCTCGCCCCATAGTCTTCAAACTCCACGTCCCCACCAATCTCTCTTCCTTCCCCAGTCTCTCCCTCCCATTCCTGCTTG